TTGTCAGACACCAAAACATCCAGAAGCCCATGTGCAGCAAAAATACCCCTCAGTACTTGAATAGTCTTTGCAGAGGTGGTGGAAGAGACAGGTACAACCTCAAGCCATTTTGAATGGCTATCAACCAGGACCAAAAAGAATTGACCCTGAAAGGGCCCAGCGTAATCAATGTGCACCCTAGACCATGGAGACTATGTTTCTTCCCATCTATGTACAGGGGCCTGTGGCATTTCTGGGCGTGAGCACTGACAAAGGTGGCATGCGTGCACCTTAGCTTCAATTTCCTTGCCTAACCCAGGCCACCACAAATGGCTGCACGCCAGCGCCTTCATATGTACAATGCCAGGATGACCCTCGTGAAGGGAACCTAAGACCCTAGGCCTCATTGAGGTAGGAATGACAACTCTGCTGCCCCACAGCAGACAACCTGGAAGGTAGATAACTCGTTCCTTTTAAGCCAGAAACTCTGAAACTCAGCACCAGGACAACTCTCTGGCCATCCAGACAAAACCCAAGATAAGACACGGGAGATTGTGAGATCTGTGGCAGATTCAGCAGCCACATCCCTGGCATTTAACGGTGACTCAGGCAATGCCTGAATTGAAAGGATGTTGATGGCAGGGGCAGGATCAGCCTCTACTACTGGCAGGGGTAATCTACTGAGGCCATCAGCATGGCCCATTTCTTTCCCAGGCTTGTGAATTAGAGAAAAATCATAGGCTGACAGGAAGATTGACCATCACAGCATTCTGGGGGAAGATGATATGGGGAGTTTGTTTGTTCGTAGTAAACAGCCCCAACAAAGGTTTATGGTCTGTAAAGACTGTGAAATGTCTGCCATACAAAAAATCATGGAATTTTTTAATTCCAGCAACAACAGCTAAAGCCTCCCTGTCTATCTGGGCATAGTTTCACTCAGCAGAAGACAAGGTTCTGGAGTAATATGCAACAGGAACCTGAGTTCCATCTGGCCTAAGGTGGCTGAGTACTGCTCCCACCCCATACGGAGAAGCATCACACGCGATGCACACTGGAAGAGTTTCATTAAAATGTGCAAGCACATTGTTAGATGTGAGAAGGCCTTAACCTCATTGAAGTTTGCTTCATGTGTTTGTGACCACTGCCACACTGCCTGTTTGTCCAGAAGCCTATGAAGTGGTTCAGCTACATTAGCCTTGTTAGGAATGAATGAATTATAAAAATTCAAAAGGCCCAGAAAAGCCTGTAGTTCGGCCTTGGACTTAGGCCTAGGAGCATGCATAATGGCCTTTAATTTGGACTTAGCAGGATGAATCCCATTGGCATCAATTTTGAATCCCAGAAAATCTATAGAAGGCACCCCAATTTTACATTTGTCCTTCTTGAGTTTGAGGCCCATTTTCCGGAACCGCAGCAGGACAGCCCTCAATCTCTCAGCTAAATTTTGGGTGGAGTCTCCAGCAATTAAGACATCATCAAAACAGGGGCAAACCCCTGGTATACCCCTCAGTGTGTTTTCCATTATGCTTTGGAAAATTCCAGGAGCCACATTTATTCCAAATTGTAATCTCTTTACTTTGAATGCCCCCCTGTGGGTTACAATGGTTTGTGCTACTGCAGCAGCTTCATCAACAGGCAGCTGTTGATAAGCCTGAGCAAGGTCAAGCTTTGCAAAAACACGCCCCCCCTTGAGGGAGGCCAGGATATGACTGACTAGAGGTACAGGATAGGCATGTTGCTGCAATGCCTTATTCAGAGTGCATTTGTAATCTGCACAGATGCGAATGTCCCCATTAGCCTTAAGAGGTGTGACTATGGGGGTCTCCCAAGGACTGGAATCAACAGGTTCTAAAACTCCTTGCTGAATCAATTTGTCCAATTCAGTATCAATTTTCCCTTTTAAAGCAAAAGGAACCCTTCTTGCTTTTACTCTAACAGGAGTGACAGTGGGGTCTAGTTTTAAGGACACAGGGGGCCCTTTGTATGTGCCCAGCTGTGGGCTGAAAACATCTGCAAATTCTTTGCAGACTGCCTGTAGATCTACTGTTTGTAAGCTATTGATCCTTGTAACATGTATTCCCAAGGCCTCAAACCAATCGAGTCCTATGAAACTCGTTCGCTCACCCCCCACTATCAATACATCTAATGGACCTTCAAAATCCTTATACTGTACGTTAAGGGTGGCCTCCCCCTTAACACACACTCTGGAGTTTTGAAAGTCTGTTAACACAATGTCAGAAGGCCTAAGCTTGGCCTGAAATCCACTACCAGAACAAATCTTTCTGAATGTGTGTATGGAAATAGTTGAAAGTGCAGACCCAGTGTCCAGTTCCATGACCAATGGAACTCCTTGCAACTTCACTTTAAGTGATAGTTTTTTCTTGATAGGTTTGTGTGTGCCTGTCCTATAAATGCTTCTTCGTGAAGCACAGAAACCCACCCTGTTTTGGCTGGGGACCCTGGTACCTTTCAGGCGCAATTCTTCTCGGGGTTGTACCTTCTGACGGCCCAGACACACAGCTGCAATGTGGCCTTGCTTTCCACATGCTCTACAGATAGCAGAGCGAAACCTGCAGTCGGTCCCCTTGTGGCGACCTCCACACCCGAAGCACTTGGGGACAGCTGAAGACTTTTCTTTGCCTTCCTTCTGCTTCCCTTCTTTTGTTGGGTAGAGACGGTCTACTTCTTCATCAGGATCTAATCTTCTGAGCTTCCTTGGACTCCCTCCTGGTGCACGGACACAGCTTCTGGAGTACTTCTGATGGGCCTCATGTTCCTGATTGCCCCCCCCCCTGCTGCCTCTTCTGCAGTAACCTCTCTCAAGGCATCTTGGAATGATAAGTCTTCTTTGGCAAAAAGTCTCTGCTGCAAGTCTCTCTGTCTCAGTCCACATACAAATCTGTCTCTCAGCCTTTCTTCTAAGTCTTTAAACTCGCAAGGCTTAGCTGCTCTTCTCAATGCAGCAATGTACTCTTTAGCTGATTCACCTGCCCGTTGATCCCTCTGTTCAAAAGTATGGCGCCAAGCAATGACAGACAACTTGGGCTGGAAGTGTTCCTTTAGCAATTTCTTTAAGTCTGTGTAGGTAACAGATTCTAGAGGTGCAGGTACTGCTAGATTTTCAGCGATCTCAAATGCATCTTGACCACAAACACACAGCAGGGTGGCGGCTTTTAAGCCATCTTCTCTCACTTGATTGAACTTGAGATAATTTTCTACTCTGGCCATGTAAGACTCCCATCTTTCCGGATGCGTAACATCGAACTCGGAAAGTCTCCCTATCTTTGCCATCTTCAGTAGTACAGGAAGGGTCTATCAGCCAGCTTACCTCCAACGTTTGCTGTATTGGCAGGCAGTTGCTGAATTTAACGCCGTTTCCTGCTGCTTCAGGACTCCAGGGTAAGCTTACAATTGTTTGAAGTAATTGCAAGGCATCCCACCTTCGTCGCCAGTGTTGAGTCCTCAGCGAAAGGCAATAACTTCAGGAGTCATTTGGTAGTTCTCAGGAGCCTCTTTATTGATGACTAGCAGCTCTGTTACAACGCCGAGGCACACAAGCCTCTCTCCTCCTCTAAAAGACAATCCCCGGGCCAAACGGCAACATTTGGCGCGCTTTGCACTTCACGCATGCGTGTGAGTGCTGGCGCCAGCCAGTCTGGTCCCGGGCAGCTTGCAACTGCCCGGGACTGTTGCAACGTCCCGAGCCTGCCTCTGCAGGCTCAGGACACAACACTTACCACTAATTTTTCTTTCTTCCCAACAATCCATTCCCATTTTTATCAGTATTTACTTTCGTTTAGCGCCAAGTAATGATTATTAGTGTCTTCTACTTTGCATGTTTTACTTCAAACTTTGTATGTCTTGACTTAGGAAATATTAAAATAAAGACAGTTGCAAACTGTCTTTAGCTGGAAACAGTTTAGCTTTTCCTCTTTCTAACTGATAGAACAATTATTGCACTGTATAAATAATGAATCAAAGAGCTTATGAACATTCAGTGGCATATTGTCCCCATTTTAGTTTTTTTATTAAGGATACCATGTGACATTTTTTTGGTTGTTTTTGGAAAATCTGAGAACTGAAAGCTGATTAAAGAGTTTTAGCTTGCAAACTAATTATGCAGTCCTTTGCATTTTTTTATTTCTTGGATAGTATAATTATCATTCTTTCAGAGTGAAATTGTAGTTGATTGTGTGCAAATGAACATAGTATACTTGCTGTTTCTTAATTTATACCATGTGCATCGGTTTGCAACTGAATGATGTAGAGAAATACATAGTGCATATTCATGATTCCACTAAGATAGAAATAAAATAATATCGTAGTTATGTTGATAAATGCATTTCTGTCATATGTTATGTATCCTGTTTAAGTATTATGCAACTTTACAACCACAAGTAGGACCAGAGTTTCTGTTACTAAGTTAGGTGATTATTAAGTGAACTGTGCCCAATTTTATGAACTTTTTTGCCATGGTTGTTAAACAAATACTGCAGTTGTTAAGTGAATCACATGGTCATTAAGTGCATTCAGCTTCCCAATTGATTTGTCTGTCAGTAGCTGGCTGGGCAGGCCTCAAGTGGTAATCAGTGACTCCAGGGCACTGCAGCCATCATAAATATATGCCAGTTGCCAAATTTGGATCACATTGAGTATGGTTTGATGATTGTAAGTGCAAGGACTGGTTGTAAGTCACTTTTTTCAGTGCTGTTTTAACTCCAAATAGTTGCTAAATGAATAGTCTTAAGTCAAGGACTACCTGTAGTTTCTATTTTTAATGTTCCATAATATCACAAAAAAGTAGGTTTATGGGGTGAAAATATATATCAAAACTAAAAGGTCTAGTTAACACTTGAAGTGTCTGTCCTTTATTTTCCTTGTGTATTTTGGGTACAAAGATTATATCATTGCTATTATCATTGCATTTTAGAGACTACATGCTTTTTCGGTGGGGTGGATGAATGAAAGCATCTCCTTGCTTATTTTGCTCTGGTTGAAAGATATTATTTCTTCTTTTCCAGGTAGCTGGTTAAATGCAATTGTGCCAGTAATAGAGGGAAGATAAACATGAGAATAGCAGGTAATAATTATAACTTAAAAAAAAAAAAACTTCGGAAACGAGTAGTTCATTTGAGTCACAGTGAGTATTTCTAATCATGATGAAAAAGAAGTTTTACCGGTTCTGTTTATCTGAAATCCACACTCCAGTGAAACTTTAAAGTTTGAGATAATGGACTCCTATTTAGATTGATTGCCTTGTAATAGTTTAAGAAGTGTCTGTTGTGTTTAAACTCAAACTAAATGGTTCATATCAAATTTAAATGTAGTTTGAACTGTATCACTTCACCATTTTCCAACGTGTCAATAACTAGAAATAACAGCAATTAGAAATGATTTTGGTCTTAAGTTCTATTAACTGATTTGGAATTACTGTTACATATATATATTTGCTAATGTTTACAATTATGACGCTAGTTTTCTTAGGTAGGAAAAAATGATTAGTGGTGGAAAATATTTTAGGTAATGACATGGCAGCTTGTTTTTCCTTGCCAAGCCTAGCCAGGAAGAATTTTTAAGTTAAATATTATTATTGTCTGACATAATCAGATTACTCAAAAAATTTTGGGAAATGTATGTGACCTAATGCACGATTGGAAGAAGTTTAACCAAATGAGAAGTATCTTGCAGTTTCATAGTACATTTATGTCAGGACATGTTAAGAGTTAAAAAAATACCCTAATCTGGAGGCAAGAAATGGAACTGAACTGATTTTCCTATTCAATTCAAAGGGAATTGAATGGAAAAGATTAGGAGTTAGGATTTAAGATTCCTAGTCCTAGAGAGGAAAATCTCCTTTCAAACTTTCTATTTTTTAGAAGCAAGCAGGTTTTCTCTTCGCTGCAAAGGAAGGGAAGGTAATAGGGTAATAGGAAAGAAGGCTGCTAGGGAAGGGTAATTAATATTACTAATAATGTTATAGATAACAAATGTTTAATTTATACAGATTAAAGAAAAAATATCTAGTTAGATTTATTTCCTTTTTTATTTAGCTATCTATTTCTTAAATTTCCACACTTACACTGAATACATGAATGAAGAAGTTTGTGCTACAGTGAATCCTCAAGTCTTTATGGAGTGAATTACAATTTCAAAGAAACAAGGTTTTACATGAATCATTCTGACCAAGGAATGGGTGCTTTTGGGAAGTTTGTGCCCAAACATGCATTTTAGCCATCCAAAATGAAGCAGACTGTTTTGTTCTGGAGATGAAGCAAAACGTGGTTCTTCCAGGCCAAAGTGTTTGGGGAGGGGAGGGTTAAGAGTGGGGAAGAGTCTGGAAAATAGAGCTTTAGGAGAGGGAAGAGAAGATCATGGAGATCTTGCTGATCTGGGAGCTGCTGAGTGTAAAAAAGTGAGATGTGCTACCTTTGCTCTACTCACCTTATCTCTCTGAGATCACTGGAGATTTTCTTTTGGCTAAAACAAAAAAACCATTTCTTCCAAAGCTTGGTCCGCCCAGAATGGTTTAGCTGAACTACAGTAATGCAGGGGGTTTCTTTTAGATTCAAAACAAAACATTTAATGTATCAGAATTTAATAAAAGGTAGTAGCATATTCAGGTAGTCCTCAACTTATAACAGTTCATTTAGTGACTGATTGAAGTTACAACAACACTGAAAAAAGTGACTTATGACCACACTTACGACTGTTGCAGAATCCCCATGGCCATGTGGTCAAAATTCAAACACTTGTCAACTGGCTCATATTTATGACGGTGTCCTGAGGTCTTGTGGTCACTTTTTCTGACCTCCTGATAAACAAAGTCAATGGGAAAGCCAGATTCACTTAACAGCTGTACTAGTAACTTAACAACTGCATTGATTCACTTAACTATAGCAAGAAAGGTTGTAAAATGGGGTAAAACACACTTAACTGTTTTGTTTAGCAACAGAAATGTTGGGCTCAATTGTGGTCGTAAGTTGAGGACTATCTGTATATATGTGAGATGATGTAAGCCTAATTGAAGTTAATACAAAGCCATTAACGAATAAATTTAAGTTTTATTCATTTCTCCTTGCATGTGCAAGAGCTCTGCTTAACACCCTTTTCCATTATGTGTGAGATGCCAGCTGCTTGCCATTTTTACCCTTTGTCATTGACCAGGCTGGTTAATGCTATTATGAGAATCTTAGATGTATCCATTCATAGTTCTTATCTACAGAATTATGACTCCAGAACTATCATATTACTGTTATTTTAGAATATAGTTCTAAGGTCTTTGAATTGCTTTAAACTTTAACCCTTAAATAGTCTGTCCCTGTCTGGTCACCCAGTTGGTTTTATGCTAAGGCAGAACTGGAACTCCCAGTCTCCCAGATTCTAGCCTGGTGCTTTAATTACTACACAAAACAAGCTCACAAGTATTTCTATACTGCCCTAAAATACAATAACTCAAAATGCCTATGTTAAATTGGAAGTTAGCATTATGGACATGTGGATAGGTATGTTTCCAGTAATTGCTTTTCCAAGAATTTTGGGATCACATCATAAAAATCCCAGTTTTATTGAGGCTCTTAGGTGACTACAGTTTGTATTCACAATTATGCATCGTTCAGTCTGTAAGACTTTATTAGGGCAATGACATCTTCAGAAAAAAACAAGAAAATATAATTGCATGTCTAATATTTAACTTCGAATGGTAACAGCTATTTTTTGTACTTGTTATGGGAATGGTATAAACACATATTGGCAAATATTTGATAAACCAGGAGTTTGATCTCACTCTTGTCACAGCTGAATTATTGAAAAGTGGCTTTGGGCAGTATATATTTTCTTCTACACCTTTAGATGCCTGTTTTGAAGTTACTGTTCATTTGATGTCTGATGGCCAATTGGATGCAGCCTGCAAAACAAAATTGATTTTCTAGCTCTTGCTTGGAACAAGTTATGGATTTGCAGTAGCTGCAGTTTGCTTCATTAGAACTCACAACAATTTTTGCACAAATGACAAAATGAAATGTACGAAAAATGGGAAATTGTGAACCTGAAACCTGTTCATGTTTTGTAAGCCAGGTTATAAATGGTATAGTTACTTCTGTACCAAAGTAACATTTACTGAAATTATGAAGATTTATACCATTTTAGATAATGTGACCATTAAAAAAATGAGCAAAATTTTAAAAATGTTCTTAATGAATACAAGAAAAATAGAATGAAGAATGATAATCTATAGTATAATCCTTTTTAAAAAACAAAAACAAAAAAAAACAGGATCTTTGTTTTTCTGTGATAGTTTTAAAATATTTTGACTGGCTTATAGACATGAAATAAGAGCAAGAGTAATCAGTTTGTTGCTCTTAAATGAAAAAGAAATTTCACATCTGTTATCACTGCTATAATTTCTAAATCATATATTTATGTAGATAAAGTCCTATAATTTGTTTCCAATCAAATTAATAAGAGATTCTGCATCAAAATATTTGTTTCATAAAACATTAGTAGTGCATTATTTGGACATAGCTATATTCCCAATATTATTATAGTAGTGGTGGGGATGTTTTATTATAGTAGATGGTTGTACAGTTGTTCAGCAACTTCCTTTTGCTCTGTTTAAATTAGGAGCAGCAAAGTTGGTAATAGCAGTGGCTGTGTTCTTGCTGATGTTTTATGTCATATCTCAAGTATTTGAAATAAAAATGGATGCCAGTTTAGGAAATCTTTTTGGTAAGTGACCTACTTGTTATTTTCACTAGGAATTGTATTTTTTAAGCATAATGCACTCATATACTGCTGTTTTGAAACATTAACCTATTAGTGAGACTGACTCACAGGTAGATCAATTAAGAATTGTAGACAAAAGTACTCTTCATATACTATAGCTAAGTTTTCAGTTCAGAATCCCATTTCTGTCGTAAGATTTGTCAGGATAAGTATGGTGATTTTAAATTATGCAGAGTAAAACAAATCAGCTCTGCTTTTTTTATATTTCCTTCTGATTTATTTACAGTAAATCATTGATTTGAGAGAAGGGAATGTCTCTTAAATACAATTTATAACATTGGTGTAATTACATAATTGACATAAATGGCATCATTTGCAATAATGCTTTGATTTAACAGTCAAACTCTTCAATTTAAAGGCCATTAAAGGTTGTTAAATTAAGGGGAAACACAAATGAAAAAGTGGTCATTGTATCTGAAGTCCACCAAACTGAGATCTTTTAATATACGCTTTATTTACTACTGTGTTTTCCCGAAAGTAAGACCTACCCTGAAAATAAACCCTAGCTTTATGTTGGGGGGTGGGCCTAATATAAGCCCTACTCTAAAAATAAGCTATGCGGGGGTGGATGGGAGTTTGTCATTGCAGCTAGGTCGACACTTGCCTCGCCAGAAGGAGCAGGTTCATTCTGCAGCTGAGAATGGAGCTCGGCCTGCCTTTCCGGAAGGCCACTGCAGCCGAGAACCGAGCTAGGGATTCAATCAAACTGCAGGCCAAGCTCCATTCTCAGCTGCAGAATGAACCTGCTCCTTCAGCCCCAGAAGAAGTGGGCTAACTGGGCAGGGCTGTCGATGCTGCCGTTGTGAGGTGAGTGGGAAAAACACCCTTCCCCCAAAAAATAAGACCTGATGCCTCTTTTGGAGGCAAAATAAAAAAATAAAATAAGACAGGGTCTTATTTGGGGGAAAACATGGTATATGACTAATTAGTGTATATGTGTGTAACTCATGGTATGTATTCTGTAATTACCTCTGCTACAACATAATGTTGTAGTCAATTGCACCAAAATGTTATTGTATAGTTGATAACAGTATCATCAAATATAAATGATAAATTATAATTTTTAAATCTTAGTTTGGTGCATTAGGAATTATGACATACAATTCCATAAAAAGCAAATGTTTTACTAATGTATATTTCAATGTTCATTTTTCTAGCAAGATCAGCACTGGACCTACCATTGCGAAGTGAGTATCCTGCACTACAGTTGTTACTTATTGGTGTTTTTAATGCATCATAATTAAGATTTGCACCATGCAGTAAGTGTGTTTTAGTGAGCTATGCAAGGCTGGTACTGATTTTAAAGGGAAAGTCTTGGTGGGCTTGTAAAAATCCTCAGAATGCAAGTTGTGTAAGAGCTTCCTAGTAAGAGACAAATAAAAAGTCAGCAATTCAAGAGACACAAGTAAAGATTTAGAAATATTTATCTTCTCCAGTGCTTATTTTTGTGATAAAGATCATTTTAAACCCATGACTCTCATTCATCTAAATATTTAGTATTTATTTTGATTGGATTCATTTTTTTAAAGATTGAAGGGTGTGACGACATAGGCAAGATTAATGCCACCAAAAATAAGTTGGTGAAAATATGACATTTTCCCTTTGTACTTGAGCAAGTCACTTGTACTTGTCAAAGGAGTTGGTTTTTTACCCCCTACTTGTCACAGTATATCATTATATCCACAGAAGTAGGCCCATTAATCCATTGTACACTAAAACTGAAGGAAAGGAATTAAATAAACACATAAACCTTAATCAAGACAGATTGAACATCCTGATTGTAATAAGGATCTTAGAAATTCAGAGGTTCCTACTGCAATGGAAAATATGAATGTTTTCAGCCTTATCAACTCTCCATTTGTGCCAGCTCTGTATGTGTTTTATTGATATCTATTCACTCTTAGTGGAGGCCTAAACCTGCCAGAGCTATATGTAGTCCTCAACTTACAACCTGTCACTTAGTGACTGTTTGAAGTTATGGTGGGCCTTCCTAGGGATACTTATGATCCAATTCCGATGCTCTGATAACTGCCCTCCCCCCAGTCACATGACTGCATTTTGGACGCTTGACAATCTGCCTGCATTTATGGCTCTTTGCAGCATCCTTCAATCACATGACTGCATTTTATGTTTTTGCCAAAAACCCAGCACTTCTAGTTGTAGCGGTCCCTTAACAATCACCACAAAAAAGTTTGTAAAATTGAGTTGGTCATGTGGGTGATCCACTTTATGACCATCATGACTTATGATGTAATGGGAAAGCTCCATTAAGATTTTAAGTCAAGGACTACCTGTATGCAGAATTTAAAAGTAAGACTTGTTCCAAGAGATCTTACTGGTTTGAGCCAAGAATATGTATTGGAATGGTTAGTTTTGAACCTGTAGTCCAACAGCAGAGTTGAGCTTCTAAGGTGTTGTCTGGACTAGCCTAGAAATGACTAGCCTAGAAATGTAACATTCAATTAGCATAAGAGAGAATAAAGTCCAAGTGTCTAGTTGGCCACCTTAAAGAAACCAAAAGCTGAATAAATGAATGAAGCATGAGTAATGTCACTCTTCCAGTCCTAAAAGAGTTCTGATAGGCAGAAAGTCTAATTAGGTGATTAAATATATTAGGTTACTACTCCTTTCAAGCACTGTTCACACCATTCCTCATGCTCCCTCTACTGTTTTCCATGTGTGGAAGTGAACCTGGAATATTGGTACAGCCTGTAAAAAAATCAGAAACAGAAGAAAAACCTGAAATATGAAAAAGTGGTTTGTAAATTTGTGAAGTGCTTTGTAACCTCCTGATACAATTTTGGGCATTGGAACAAATCTCCATTCAGTCTGAAAGCCTTAGATTTGATTGAACCTTCAGATTGAATCTATGAAGCTTTGCAAAGTATTATAAGATAGGAAACCAAAAAAATTAAAGGCATGAGATAAGGGACGGGAGGGAGGGAGTAGGAAATGTAGTTAAATATAATTTTAGTAGACACATTCACTTCTTCAAGCCTTTCTTGTTTTCTTAATCCACTCACTCTTCCTTCATGCTTGTATTGTGCAATTTAGTTTATATTTTTTTCTCTGACTAAACCACTTTTGTTTCTTTCATACCATTAGCTCACTTTAATCATTCAGTATACATTTATTCTTGACCCTATCTCTTCTTACATTCAGGTAATTTCTTTTAAGTAGACTCATAGAATCATAGGGTTGGAAGGGACTTTGGAGGTCTTCTAGTCCAACCCCCTGCCCAAGGCAGGAGAACTTATATTATCTCAGACAAATGGTTGTCCAATCTCTAAATAAAATGCAAGAAGAGTGCTTGCTAAAATACAAGGGTGTCTTAACTGAACTGACATGATTTGTTTTGGGGAAAGCAAGTGTAATCTGAACAGAATAACTACATAGTTAAAATATGAGGGTACCATTCCAAGTGCATTCAGCTTACTTATATTTCTCTGGACATATTCAGCTCTTCACCTAACTGTGTCCTCACAAGCGTGATCTTACAGTATAGCCTTTTAAAATTATTTCAACAAATATTCTTTAGATGACAATATTCACTAATTTTCTACAAGCATTTTCTCATCTTAAAATGTACTAAGATACACAGATTAATTGCCTTGCTCTAGTTTTTCCCCCCATGTTGTTATTACAGTTCCATTTCCTCTGTCAAACACAACTGCATGGCTGTTGATACACATTCAATGTTCAGATATTACATTGCATTACACATTCATTGTTCAGATATTACTTTGCAAAGCCAACATTCATTGTAAATCGTTAGCTTCTCATCAACAACACAGCATTATCTGTATACCAAAGCACACATATGTTCATGACTCCATCATCACCATCAGCTTTTCTTACACATTTATCCATAAATACATTAAATAAATGGATTTAATGAAGGCGTTAAACTTTTCGGTTTCATTCTTTGACATATCCCTGATTCCCAAATAACACTCTAAAATACTTCTGGCATTCTGTCATATAAATTTTATTTAGAATCCTTTCATCAGTTCTATTTTTATTTCTGTTCACTTTGCAGGAAGCTATAGATTTGGACTTCTTCATCCATATTGAACATTTGTTCAACATTTTTTCAGCCTCCTTTAATCTTAACCATTCACAGCTTTCTTTGACTACTGTCTTTCTCTCAGTACACATTATAAAACATCTTTCTCTCATTCACATTTTTTTCAGTCATTCTCCTAGTTCTCATCCATAGTCTTTTTCACGCCTTTCTACTGTGTTTCCGGTCGTATATATTTTTTTTGCCTCCAAAAGAGGCACTGGGTCTTATTTTGGAGGCGATGTCTCACCTTAGGACCACCACAGCCAGCCCTCTCACACCCTGACACCTGTCACGCCACTGCTTGACTTCTTCAGCGGCTGCTTGCCGCGACTTGCAGCTGGACACCATGTGGCGCATTGCCCTATTGAAGCTTTAAGGGGTGGGAGGGGTGAAGCTGCCAGCTCTCCCACGTCCCAACACTTGTCAAGCTGTGTGGCTCATCATGCCAATGCTGCCACTTGGGGCAGGATGTTGCACAGTGCTTCAGGCCATGCTGTTGCTCACAGCAAGAAGCCAAGTGGCTCTTTGGGCCATTGCTGTTGCAGCAGCATGCCATGGCGGAAACGGCCCAAAGTGCCCTGCAGCATCCTGCGAGCAATGGCAATCACCCGAAGAGCCACTCAGCTGAGTGACGAAAATGGCCTGAAGTGCCATGTGGCATCCTGCCACGAGTGACAGCAATGGCCCAAAGAGCTGCTCGGCTTCTTGCCATGAGCAACACAACAGCCCAAAGCGCTGTGTAACCCCCCTCCGTGAGCGACGGCACTGGCATGACGAGCCACACAGTTTGACAAGTATCAGGGTGTGGGAAGCCTGACTGTAGCTGTCCTACGGGTAAAGTAAGTGAGTGCAGGGCGCATGGGGCAGCTTCACCCCCCCCCACGCCCACGCCCCCAAACTTGGGTTTACTTTCGGGGAAACACAGTATTAACTGTTCCTTTTCATACTTCTCTTTAGTTTAACTCTGCACACTTTGAGAGTAATCAATAACATATTTCTTTTCACTCCCTTCCAAGCAATTTCCATTTTCTCTTTCCATTCATTTGGGGAGTGGGGAGAGTAATCTATCTTCTAATACTTTTTCATACCGGACTCACACTTTTTCTTCTTACAGGCTTTCGGCTTTCACAGTGGTTACTTGTACTTGTTTTATTTTCCTCCACATACTTTCTTGTCACTACAAAGCAACATCCATTTTCACATTCAGAAGCATTCATCATTTGTTTATCCTTTGATAATATTTCCAATATTTCATCATAAATGATCAGATTAATCACACCTTTAGATTTAAATTTGTTCCTTTGCTATATGTATTTATGAATAGGCATATACTTAAACCAGGGTGTCAAACTGCCGGCCCACAGGCCAGATGTGTCATCCGGAAGCCACACCTACCCCATTGCCGGCAATGGCAAAACCATCCCAATACGTTGCGCGTTGAGAGGTTGACATGTCTGGCTTAAACCATCCATTTGAAACAGATCACTTTCTTAATAAAGATTCACCAAGCAGTCATTATTCTCATTATTTTCACCCAAAACTCTTTTCTCTATTCGCATCTCATTTCCACTTACCTGTTCATGTCACATAACAGAATAATTTGCTCCCCTGGATTCAGAATGTTTCACAGTTCTTTCAAGAATTCATATCTAGTTCCTTATTTATTATCATCATTATTTTTTTTGTTTATTTATATACCATCTTTATTATTTTTACAAATAAGGCAGCATTATTTTACAAATAATTTTCCTTCCGCTTCCTCTTTTCACTGCCCCAACAATCCTGTGAGTTGGGCTGAGAGAGAGAGTGACAGCTGGCTTTCATGGCTAAGGCATCACTTGAACTCATGGTCTCTTGCTTTCTAGCCTGGTGCCCTAACTTCTAGACCAGTGATTCTCAACCTTTCTAATGCTGTGACCCCATAATACAGTTCCCCATGTTGTGGTGACCCCCAAGTGGGTGTGGCCACCAATAAGAGGGAGTAGGACAGCTAGGGAAAAGGGAAAAAATGGCAGACAGCATGGTTTGGTGACCCCCGTGAAATGGTCATTCGACCCCAAATGGGGTCCCGACCCACAGGTTGAGAACCATTGTTCTAGACCAAACATGCAGTTATCCCTAACTTATGGATTCCTACTTTCATATGAACCCACAAGAACCTACATAACACTGATTCATTTTTTGTGACATTCATTTCAGTGCTTTCATAATTAAATCCACTTCCATGTGTTCATCCCAATTCATAAGACCAGGTTAATTCATGCTCTTTACTATTTACTCCTTTCTAACATTCCAAGTTACAGTTTACCATATGTAGTGGTTATCACCAGATTGGCCAATAGGTGCTACATTCTCTGCCCATCATGATTTTGATCAGTCAAAGCATTTACTTAATACATTTTAATAAGGGGCAGGCAGCATATGTTAAGTTGATTAAGCTTAAAGCAGTATGTTTAAACATTTTTGGATGATAAACAAAAAGTTAATAGAGGTTTTGATATTATACAAGTATAATAAATGCAATAGATAAAATTGAATCCCAGTTTTACGCCAGATTGGCTTGATTTGTTCAGTGCAAGCTTGGGTTTCTAATGGAAGTGTATGCATGCACTAACCTTTTTGAGGAAAAAAAGATAAAACCTTACAACTGCTAGTTCAGTGTAACTAAATAATCTAAGGTAACTGTAAATATATTGTACACAATTTTGTTCCAGATTGCGTTCTGCAAATCAAATGACTATGGCATGGAATGCTTTTCCTGAGCTTCAAACACCATATGCAACTTACTTGCATTTTACTTTTATGTACTTTGCTTTTATTTTGCAATGTCTGCAATTATGTGACACCAAACTGGCAGGAGTGGCCAACACCCTAGAAGACCAACTAAGGATCTAAAAAGATCTTGATAAACTTGAACAATAGGCCCTATCCAACAAAATGAGTTTCAATATGGAGAAAAGCAAAGTTTTACATTTAGGCAGGAAAAATTAAAGGTACAAGTACAGATTGGACAAGACCTGGCTTAAAAACAGTAACTCCGAGAGGGACCTTGGAGTCCTTGTGAATGATCATTTAACCATGAGCCAGCAGTATGCAGCAGCAGCCAAAAAAGCTAATATAATCCTGGGTTGTATAAAGAGAGGCATAGAATCAAGATCATGCGAGGTATTAGTACCGCTTTATAAAACCCTAGTAAGACCATACCTGGAATGCTGCAGCCAATTTTGGTCACTGTACTACAAAAAAGATGTTGAGATTTTGAAAAAAATTCAGAGAAGAGCAACTAAGATGATCAAAGGCTTGGAGTCTAAAACATACGAAGAATGGCTGCAGGATTTGGTTTTGGCTAGTCTTAAAAAAAGAAGAAATAGGGGAGACATAATAGCAGTATTCCAGCATTTGAGGGGGTCACGTTATTCACCAAAGCACCAGAAGGCAGGACAAATAAAATGGTTGGAAACTGATCAAAGAGAGAAGCAACCTGGAATTAAGGAGAAACTTCCTGACAGTGAGGACAATTAACCAGGGGAATAGCTTGCCCTCAGAAATCGTGGGTGTACCATTACTGGAGATTTTTAAAAAGAGGCTAGACAATCACTTGTCTGAGATGGTATAGGTTCTCCTGCTTGAGCAGGGGGCTGGACTAGAAGATCCCCAAGGTCCCTTCAGCTCTATTCTATATCTTTTTCTCTTTGTTGTATATTCTTTTTATTTTGAATTTTTATTGCATTCCTTAAATTAAAATATATTCGCTTCTTTCCCAAAAGCTACAAAGCCTCCAAGGTATAAATGTGGAACGACAAAATCATGTCCAGCAAATCATTTTGCTTTCAAAATGGCAAGTGGAGCAGCCAACGTTGTTGGACCTAAAATATGTGTAGAAGACAATGTGTATGTATGAACCAATTTCTTTAACTAGAGATGTAGGGGGATATATAGATATCTGTATACTATCAAAATCTGCATCTTCTCCCATTCTATCTTGCCTGCATCCTAAGGTCTCCATGGGTCGTTTAATTTGTTTTTCTTTTAATGTAAACTCTACTACAGTTTTGATTGGCTTGATTATGGTGATTTTAATTATTCTGTTGTTTTCTTTTTGAATTCTATTTTTTAAGTATTATATCTTTGTATCTTACTAACAGCTTTGGATATTGTTCTGCAGTGTAAACATAAAATACAGATTTTCTTACTAAATGACTTCCAGGGAAATCCTGAAAAGATTCTTAAAATTTTACCAAATATTGTCATGGTTATTTTTTGTGGGGTGTGTGTATGTGGTGTATTTCCAATTATGTCCTAAAGTATTCCAAACTATCACCAAATAAACCCCTGTGGTAAAATATAAAGAGAATGATAAAAATGTCAAGATATATTATAATTAATTTAAAGTCTTCCTTTTTAACAGGCTTGGCATAATTTTACTTCAGTGATCATGAACTGCTCCTTGGATCATACTGTGACACAGTGTTGTAATGGATATGACTATTTTCATTTCAGATAGTCATGAAACAGATTAGATTTTATTGCTAAATGGTGTGCCATAGTGTAGTGATTAGAGCAAAGGATTACGATCACACTGGTAGTAATCCATGTTCAAATCTCCAATGAGTCCATAGCTGCTGGATGTTGCTATGTCTGTTATTGTCTACTTATAGGCAGTACAAGGAATGTCCTGGAAGAGCTACTACTAAATAAGTCAACAGTCAGATAAGAAGGGTTTGACACCTTCCCAAGAAAATAACTTGACAATCCCCTCTCTAGTTCACACAAAGATAAAGGAAGGGGATTCAACACATTCAGACTTGTAAGATTCAGTTACTATAGCGATTATAATAAAAGTGGTTAGCATTGGTTTCTTAGTCTGGTCTATCTTGTAGGGCAGAAGCTCCCTCATAGCATTATTTTGTGTAAATAATGTAAAATGAGCGAAACCAATGTATATGTCCTTGAACTCATAAGAGGTTTAATGATAGGTTTTTCAATCTATTCTACAGCAGAGGGACAATATTCAGGAAAACTCCGGAACCTTTGGTTCTCTTTCTAACCCATACTGATATGGCCATTCCAGAGTGATCTAGCAGTTTCCAGAGTTTTTCTGGAACCATCCAGAAGTCATGTTTTTGGGGAATCAGGCCATTCTGAAATACCACAAATAACTTTCTGTTCAGGAAAGTTTCTAGAATACTGTCAAACCATGCCCAGGTTATCCAGATTATCCGAATTGACATATTGAATGGAATGTTCTGGAATTCTTCAGGACAATCATTTTGAATAAATGGTTGTGCATCAATAAATATTCAGGGTGATTTGATAATATGAGGGATCATTTATAACAATATAGTAACATTTTTCTCATTATGCCCTAAGGATCAGTGGCAGAGTTTTCATTACTTCCCTCCTAATTCAGAATATATTGGCCTGACCTAATTAAAATATATATCCAATATTTGCTTGCAAGGCAGCATGCAATCTTTTGCAGTTTGTTTGAAAAATCCCCTATGACAGGGTTTTTATATCTTCTATATCAACTGGCCTTATTTCTCTCTTAGCAGTTGGCTATAAAGGGCTAGACTTAATTCACAGTGTTAGGAGGACGTCTCCATTCTTCCTCTAAAGATCTTGGATTAGCGGTTTTTCTTTTTCAGTATCCTGACCTATAAAGATGGTTTTCAGAGATGCACACAAAAAATCTGTCTTGCACATCTAATTGAGGTCTTTTATTTTGATTTTTGTTTCGATTAAAACACAAACTCCTGCTTTATCAGAAAGATATTTCAGCATAATGTCAGGTTCAAAGATATTTCAACATAATGTCAGGGTCAAAGGCTCAGGGGTGTTCTTTCATTGTAGCCCACAATTCAGTAAGGGTAGTTATCAAATAAAGTTTGTGATTTCTAACCTTGGGTGAGCCAGGTATTGTGACAGCCTTTAAACATTCTGCTTATCTTGATTCTTAAAGTGATATTTGAAGTAGAAACTCCCTCTACTTGTAGACTCATATTCACACTTTAGGAATTCTTTTGGACCCATTCTAGTCAAGTAGATGTGGAAGAATATCTGTGGCAAATAATGGCATTTTTCTCCAACTTCAGTTGATCTCATTGACTAATGTGTGGACTTCAAATCCCAGAATTCCACAGCCAGCATAGCTCTGGAAGCTTCCAAATTAGATAACTTAACTCTAGATGAAAGTAACCCATCAGAATTGTATGAAACATTAATATTACTCTTCTGATAAATCACTGAATGGTATTTTACTGTCCTTATCTTTCCATTTCACTCTTCAGAAATAGTTGTTCATTATTTGAGTAAGAAATCTAAAAGCAATGTGTTGTCCCCCTCTTGTGGTAAATCCTAAACGTCACTGGAAATGCCTTTGGCTGAGATCACATTGTGTGCTAGATTCTGATCTTTCCAATGAAGTGTTCTCCCTATGGTTTGGATTATAATGTCCATAATGACTGGGAATGATGAGACTTGTAATTCATCACAGAAGGAAGGCAGCAAAGTGTCAAAGAGTAGTATAAACTCCTATGCAAAGCCCCCAAGATCACATCAATATTTTTATTGTTCACTGTTGATATTAAACAACTGGTATATTTTGAACTTCATACTTTTGTTTCATTTTTTGTACATAAACTATAATCTGGGATGATGCCAGAAATACCAGCTTGCAAATCAGCTTCTTCAGTTAGGAATTAAATAACAGTAAAAACAGTTCTAGTTTCTTAGGAACAAAGGGCCATGGGTTCAATTAGCTCATTTGTGGCAAACTTGCTGCTGCATTTCAAGATGTTTCCTATGAGAGGGGCTAGGAAGATTCCCGTGTATAATTCTGTAGATGTTTTATGATTTCTTGCTTTCCATAGCTGAGTAGAGCTAATTGTGTAATTCAACTGATTTGATTCAAGCTGAAAGCTAATCTGCTTTGCTGTTCTTCATATGCTACAAGCGTGCCTGGTGATAATTAAACTGACAGAGGTAAAGAGAAGGGACAACTTTTGTGCAGATTTTATTTAACAAACCTGAACAGCTAAGAAGGGTGGTCACATTTCTTGTGGATTTTTTGTTGTTGTTGTCAAGAGTCACACCCCCTCTATGGTGTGCAATCAGGAGAAGTTAACAAGACAAGAAGCTTATTGTAATTATCTTCATTTGTGTTGTTTCAGCTTGATGAGTGGTGTTAAAAACAACGTGGGGAGGGGCATTAATATAGCCCTAGTAAATGGTAAGTGTTTGTACATGTCTGGCCAAGACATCCTCTTTGCATCTATTTATCTTCTTCAACAGCAGAGCATAGTCCAGGGCCTCTCCAAAGGATGCTCAAATGTGACCATTTTCTTTCTCAGTTCTGTGCCCTGTTTTTTCTACTCTGCTGAAATTGATTGGTTCAGTGCCACTGTGGACAGGGTCAAGGTAGCATATCCATCCCATATTTTGTCCCCCCCTTTCAATTCCCCCCTTCCCAAACTTATCTGGATGTATCTAAGATCTGTAGTAGCTCCAGATAATCCACTTTTGTGATGCCATTCCAGGACTTCGTGTCTGCCACATAATATAGCTCAGCTGTTCAGATGACATGCCTCCTGGGTAGGGTGGGGATTATTTTAGTCCCAAACAGGCCGATGATTGTAAATCTTAGACTAACAGATTTAGGTCATTTGGCTGTTCCACTTCCCTCCCCCAGTATTTCAATGGAAGCAGGGCCACTTTAAGCTAATAGACATTTTCCTTTTCTATAAATAGATCCAATTATTGCAGCTCAGAGTTATAATGTAATATTTCATTCTTTACTGTTTCTGCCACTGTCACATTTCTCTTTTTTCCACTTCCTGATTTAGTGTGTGTTTATCTTGTTTATGGATGATGCTCTGTTGATAAAAATCCATGTTTATTTTTAATACCCAAGGGTGTGCTTTCCTAGACATTGTTTCATAGAACAATGAAATGAAATTTCAGAGCGTAGCATTGCCTATTACTAGGCTCAGAGATGAAGCTAAGGATGGAGAGTCTTGACTAACACAAATCTCTGAAAAGATAGCCATGGTCTGCAAGTAAAATTATGGATGTCTTTGTATAGTCAGCTGAGATCATCTTTATCTTTCTTTTTTAACTTAGATCTTTTTAAAGAAAATTTAGGTAGAATATCTTTATTGATTTGTTTGTTCTCATGGAAATTAAGGGCAGCCAACAGCATTAATTTAACATAAAATGGTTATCAACTGGCAAGAAGTGAGAAGCGTCTTCTGGCCCAAACTTGTACCTGCTACTGGGGGGGGGGATGTCAGTTAAAATTAGAAATAATGCTACAAAAAGGGAATGCTGCCATTCTCTCATTTTCATTAGCTGATCAAAGTGCTAATTTTCAAGATGGTCCTGGGTCCTAAATTTCTTTCCATTGTTGCTCTAAGTTTGGAAATAATTATTTTGTCAAATTTACACAGTTGTGGAATCTGAAAGGCAGCACACCTGATAAATATTTGCTCTTGCTAAATATCAACAATACTGTACACAAAGATAGAAAAATGCACTTTAGCATATTTAATCAGCTTTTGTCACTTACTAAGAGCTGGAAGATTTTGCCAAGCACAAGTCACCAATACAGCATGTTTTAATGAAACAACTTGCTATTCTATATAAGCAAATCTATATTAGCCCTTATCTGATTTTGAGTACATCTGTTCCTAGACTATACTTTTAATCATGAACACATTAATATAGATCAGTTCTTTTTGTCTTTATATATTCTTCATAAACAGTGTATGTTGATTTATTGCATTCCATTTCTTATTCCTTTTGCTAGGCAAAACAGGTGAAGTAGTGGACACAAAATTCTTTGATATGTGGGGTGGAGGTAAGTGCAGAAATAAGTGCTTATTTTATAAAATATGTAGTTAATACATTATTTTACTTGTTCACTTATTTAAAGTGGACATTAGCGTACTTATTCTTAATTAAATCCAGTTTATTAAAGCTAAATAATAATAAAAAATTGACAAATGTTGCTTTTCAATTTTGCATTAGATATTTTGAATTAAAATGTGAGTTTTGAATGAAAGTCCTGTAAATCAAAATATGGGTGGCATTTCCTGTTTGGCAGTCAGATGTAATTTATGTTCTTTTTTTGCCTTTGGCATTTGTTATATTAATTATCATGTTAGTTGCTTTGCAAGATGAACAGCTATATAAATTTAATAAATATTAAATGTTGTGCTTCCATTTGATGTAGATGTAGCCCCATTCATTGAATTTCTGAAGACTTTTGCAGATGGAACTATTGTATTAATGGCAACATATGACGATGGTGCCACTAAGTAAGTCTGTTTGAAATACAATACTTATTTGGTACAGGTAGTCCTTGACTTATGACTAATGGATCCTGCCCATTATAGTTGTAAGTTGTGATCATAAAGCAGGTCATCACATGACTAGAACTGATTTTACACCCTTTTTTGCAGCAGCTGTTAAGTCAATCCATTGTTCGCTACGGGACATTTTTATCCAAAAGAGGAAGTAAAGCCTGTTTTTGGCAAAAATGGCATAAATCACGGTCATGTGACTGTGGGATGCTGCCCAGGGACATAATGCAAACTTGTTGCCAAGTGCTTGAACTGCAGTCACATGATCAAGGGGGTTGGGCCATCAGAAGTTCAGAACTGGATCATAAGCATTTTTGGGGGAGGGTCAGTGGTAACTTTGGACTCCTCAAACTGCTGAGAATCAGTTGTAATTGCTAAGTGATCAGTTGAGGATCCTGTAACCATTTTTGGAATTTGGAAGTATGTAGGCAGGCTGAATCTCTCATCTTAGTGCTTGAAACTGAAGAATTGCTTGCTGTGAGTTTTAGCTGTTTCCCCAAACTGGAGACGAATGAAGAGAATTAAATAAAGCTTTTGAATTTTTGTGGTGATGACTGATTAATAATAGTTTATAACTGTAACTTAATATTTGTAGCAATAAATTAAATGTGAAATAATGATTGCATTATGCAGCAACTACATATAATCAAGACCGAATTACCATAAATAATCAAGACAAAACAAGCAACAGAGGTAATAACATTGCATGCGCATAACAGCTGTTGCTATTGATTGAAAATTAGCTGTTCGGTTAAACAAGTCAAAATAGGGGTGGACCAGACACTTTTCACTCAGTCAGCGTTGAGGAGCAATAACATTAAAGAATGGAGGTCTTGATCTCTTTTATGGTCATCATTAAAATGACCTCCCCTCCCTCCCCCATCCCAACTCTTACTTATATTGTTCCTGTTTTCTCCATCCATCACTAGCTATATATCTAATCTGTAAGGAATATTTGAAAAATATGCTGTCATATTTGCTGTCTAGTAGATTACAATTAGATGAGAGCAAAAGAGGGAGACATGTTGTCCTTCCAAGAATGTGGTCAGTTTAAAAGTAGGTTGTCGTCATTCAGCAGAGGTTGCTGAATAATGTGCCTATGTGTGAAAGTGTACAATATTTGTACAATAAAGGCAAAATTTCAATAGATTAAGGAAAGTGTTTATATGGGTCAATTTGGTAGATTATATTCTAGATAATATTACATTTCTTTTTTTTCTTTTTTTTAATTTTTAATTTTTTAAACCAGCAAAACAAAACATAACACACATACACACACAGTATATACTCCTCCCCTTTTTTTTAACAGCGATTTTGTAACGGTGATCTTCTATTATTTACATTTTCCCCCCTTTATTCTTCTTTAGAATATTTGTCCTTGTTGCCCCCTTGTTTCTTATTTGCATTTTTCTTCCTTCATACTATACTTCATACTAAGAATAATACATATTATTATTACTATACATTGGACAATATTACATTTCTATAGTAATTCTTAAAATTCTGTTGAAGGCTTACTGAAGAGGCACGGAAACTAATATCAGATTTGGGGAGTACGTCCATCATGACACTTGGCTTCAGAGACAATTGGGTCTTCTGTGGTGGGAAAGGAATCAAAACTAAAAGCCCTTTTGAACAGGTATGTTTTCACATTAACATTTAGATGACATATTGGAGTGTTTTTTGACCCCAAAACATACATTGCATGTCTTGGAGATGCACTTCAGTAACTGCAAAGATACTTAATTGGAATTAGGAAGAAGGTCTGAGTTAATTTGGATTTGAAGAAGAAAAGTCTTTGGAGTCATATATGGAGTACCTCTGCTTAAATCAAATGCATTTTTATCTAATTGCACTGAGATGGTATATGAGCACATGTGTGCTCAAAAATCACAATTCCCCCTTCTATTCTGGATCACTGAACAATCTTAGTGTCCTGCTCAGAACTTCCTAGGGTTATATCAATTGTTTGAGGAAGATTTTGAAAATGAAATTTAAATGTCCCCGCACTGTGAACATTAATTTGTCCCCTGCCCTTTGAGTATCTTAAATATTTCTATTCCTGATGTGTTACTTTGGTGTCATTTTTTTCTGTTTGAAACTTCTACTACTACTACTTATTACTGTGTTATGATTACGGTTGGTTCCACAATCATCCAGATCTTTAAATTGGATTTGGCATTTTTATCCACTTATTGAGTCCTTCTCAAGAAGCTGGGATAGGCAGATGTTATTATGTATGGATTATCTACAGTTAGTCTAAGATTGGTAGAAATTTAACAGTTCAGGTCCTAACAAAGGATCTAAGAATTATTAAGCTACCATTTAAGAGCACAGGCAATTCTAAGCAAGATTGTTTTTGGTAAATTAGGGTGTTTAAATCTGATAAATTCAACATTTCCAGATATCAAGGAAGTCCTTTAAATATTGCTCCCAGGGCTCCAATCCTGATTGGTTTAATAATAGATTTCTTTTCAATCTCAACTTTGATCAACTTTTCAATCTGCAAGTCCTAATATTTTGTATTGTTTTCCAATTGCTTTTCCTCAACCCCTAGCATTGATGATGATAATGGTGGTCAATCACTGTAGATTCTTAGGAGGAAAATAAGTAGATTCTGTGAATATGTTATTTGAAAACAATAGCAGAAAATTCTCATACTGATTTCTATGTTAATATTCAGACTAAGAGCATTGTTGTGCACTAGCTCTTATATTTCATACAGCTTTTTGTTTTTCTTTACTCTGGAACTTTTCTTTTTCATATATTTCTTGCCCTGGAAAAAAATGTAACAGGACATAAAAATTTGTACCACCCAACATAAATAAAAATATTGCTTTTTGTAAGTTAGAAAATCTTGTGTTTCAGTGCAATAATAACTATACTTACATCTTACAGTTGAAATGGCTTTCTCTTTGCAGCATATTAAAAACAACAAGGACACCAACAAGTACGAAGGATGGCCAGAAGTTGTGGAGATGGAAGGGTGTATTCCACAGAAGCTAGATTGAACAATCTGCAATTTGGAAACAGACAATGCAAAAGAACAGTGGAGGGGAAAATGCACTTTTCTGCTGATGTGAAATTGTAGGATTTGGGAAGATAGAGGCCAAGTGTGAACTCCATCACACTAGGATGGCTTGATGCACAAGGCCCATAAAAAGCTGTGCAAAGTGATTGTAAATTGGAACAATTCATTTGACTGGGCATGTGAAATACTTATCCTGCTGGATTGTGCCCTATGTAAATAATTTCCAGGCATGTTTTCACTTTAAAATGTGCATGATTTTTTTTAAAAAACAAACGTCAGGCTTATTTATTGTTAAATTGAAGAGATTCTTTTTTCTCTCTTTTTGTTTTTTGTAAATAAGCCCTAAACAAACAGAACAATTATTTCTGAGCATTCTTATTCTCCCTTTCTTCCTTGTTTCTAAAGCCACTTATTCTATGTAAATGTCTTTTAGAACCACCCTCAGAAGTAATTAAGAGATGTACAATGAATAGTTGAGCTAATCCTGAGCTTTGTTGTATCCTGTTCAATTACAACATTGCTGTGACTGCATATATTTAGATGGATATGTAAATTTTAGAGGAAAAAATAGTTAACTATTTTTATGCTATGTCTGTTGGAAAACCACATTCTTCAGTGACTCCTTTCGGATAGAAGGGATGGATGTTTGATACAAAAATGTAGGACTGCTCTACAAAGCACAATTAAATGCTTTTCATTAAAATCAAATGTATATCACTGTGTCTGTTGCAATTGTTAACTCATCTGTACCCCATATTTCTTGTTAGCAATGCAAGCTGCTAATACGGCAGAATAATGTGTATGTTGAACTAGAGTTTTTTAAAGACCTGAGATCCAGAAGACATGTGAACTGGTTGAGGTCTTGCTAAATCATAAAAAGAACCAATGTTGGCAGTTACTCTGTTTTTCCTGAAGTATAAAATTACAATTTTTTTAATCAAAAAATCTTAATTCTTCCTGGAGGTGACCTGGTATTGTGGCACTCCTCAATTGAATATCTTTCACAGATAGTCCCAGTTGCATGATAGACTTGACTGTAGGGGAAAGAAAATCCACTGGGAACATGTTTTACTAGAATAAAAATGTTACTGTTTAGATTGGCTGATTTGACTAGACCAGGCATGTCAAACTCACAATATCACGTGACGTCGCGTGACATATCGCGACTTTTCCCCCATTGCCAGCAATGGTGTGGGTGTGGTTTTGGCATGATGCAGCTGGCTCGCAGGCCGGCAGTTTGACATGTCTGGACTAGACAGACCACACTAAATCATATTTTTGCAGGTGCTTATACAGAATGCATTTGCGGTCTCTAGACCTTTCACTCCTAAAAATGTCATCTTTCCATTTTCTTGTCGTATGTACAGCAGCAGGGAAGGGCACAATGGTCCTCCTTTTTAATAATTCACATTGCTTCATAGTGACATTGTGTTAATTGAATTATAGCAGTTGGCTTACCGTTCTAGGTGCCTCTAATGGCATTAGGGAGTTAAATCCAGAGGGGTTCACAGGGAGTTTTCGGATGCCCAGGAAGCCTTCCACTCTTTCGGTATCGTTGAACTACATTAGACCACATTCCTTGCAAAAATTATTTCCACTCTCTTCATTTTCAGAAAGTATCTGGAGAAGTGAAACTGTAAAATGCCTCTTGTGGGAATATTCTTGTAGAAAAATTTAAGCATGACTCTTGGGATTGTCACTTTTTTCCTTTTTGTAAAGGTGACGGTGGCATTTTGGAGTTCTGTTTTCCAACTCAAACAATGAACAAGCATTTTGGACATCTCTGCTTTACAGAGAGACTTTAGCTAGAAGTAAAGTATGAATAGATGTTTGCTGGGATGTCAGGATAGATCCTGTCAATATGTATATTGTCAGTCTGAAATGAGGTGATTAAAATATCTATTTAAAAAAATATTGGTGGAAAAGTTAGGCGTAGAAGCTAATATTGTTGGAGTAATTAAATATTTGCACTGAAAATATTAAAGCAATACTGGAGATTAATTATCTTATGTAGTTTAAGAGAAACATCTAGCTTTTCAATGCTAAGATTTCACGACTGGAATATGAGCTACTTTACTGTTTTAACCTGTTCATGTTAATCTTTTTCTTTAATTTGCTGTAGCTTAGCAATAAGTACATTAGAAACAGACCAATTATTTGCGAAGTCCTTTGCAGATTCTCCAACTATGTTCATTGAAATAAAATCACTTGTCCATGTATTATATTTTTTCATTAAATAAAGTTTTAAAAAACAAAATCTGGATCTGCTCAGGAAGAACCCCTTGTGCTTGGTATAAGGTTTTTTTCTTTTTCTTCTTTTTTTTTGCAGAGGGGGGTAGACAAGAATCACAGGGATGAGCATTGTCAAGATGCCGTAAAAATGTGACAAAACCATGACTTAACAAAATATTCTGATTAAGTGCTGCTCTCTCCACCTATTCTTATGGCTCAGTACTAATGATAATGCCAATAGGTGGTGAAAATCAATTGACCTGTAACTTAAATTACAAAATATTAGTCTGCTAAACTGACCTAATCAAAATATTGCTAATTAAATCATTCTTGGGGAACTGCAGGAAAGAATTATTTGTTTAAATGTGGCACTATTGGCACTATATGCTCCTTCACAGAAAATACAGCTACAGAAACATTACACTCTATGGGCCATCAAGGTTAACATCATCTTGCTATTGTGAACAAATACTGTGATGTATGAATTTTTATTTTTTGTGAATCAAAGTTTTCTTAACTATCACATTTTGTACTCCAGCTCTGCTTAGTGCATTTGGTCACCCATGGGGAATGGGTGCTTTGCCTAAAAATGTACTTTCCTCAGCCGGAGAAAAGTAAGAGTATTTAAATGTGTTACAGGTCCCTAAGCACCCAGTTCTATTTTTCTGGTACCATTATAGTTGAATTCAGTCTGAGGTTCCATATTATTTGATTTTTAAGAAAATATTTTCCCATATCTTAAGGCTATTAAAAATACTGTTGATAATATGTATCATGCTAGTTTTTGTAGCTTTCCACTTTTAAGAATGATTGATATCAAAAAGCTACTGGCAATAAACCTTTCAGGAGAAAGGGATCTCCAGTCACCAGCTATCTGTAAACTTGCTTCCATCTGTTTCTGTTAATTAGCTCCAATAGTAGAGAAAGGCAAGTAAGCATATATGTTAATATTTTATTGACAAAATGAGAATCAACAAAATGAATAAGGTAACTTCAATATAGCAGCAAAAATTGTTCTTAAATGAGAAAAACAGTAACATACATTATTCCCAATATGTTTTGAAATGTGCTCTTGAATCCCAATTCTCTTTTGGTAAATAATCGTAACAAAATTGAGCTTTTCTGCTTCTATATTTTTGAGAGAAATTTGGAGAGGCTGAAGAGCATTAAGTAGAAGGAACTTAGACCTTAATGTGAATGCAAGTCATATTTTGAAGGGCAGTGTTCTTATATAAAACGAGGTAGCTGAAGCAGTAAATAATATTTTTACGAGTTGCCTACCATTTCACGAGAAAATGTATTTAATGGAAAACTAAGTTTATCATTTATAGACTATACATAGTGATGAAGTTAGATGCAATCTGATGTACATTTAGTTCGGAGTCAAACCCACTGAAATTGAGAACATGCAAAACAAATCCAAGCAGAATTGGACTACATTGTGTGGTATTGCTGGAATGTTTATAGAACCATAAGCCAACCCATTGCGCTTAGGATTTTATATTAAACAGTGGCTGGGAAGCAAGCTCAGTGAGAGCTAATAAACATTCTGTTTTGGACTAAAATTAGAGGATTCTTCAATCGCTCCATTCTTATATTGTTGATGCTTGGAAAAGTCTTCAAAGGCAGAGATACAGCAAATCAAGCCAAACCAACCTATTGAGATCACAACCAGATGACTGTTCCCTTCAGATCAAGGGGCAATTTTTAAAAATAGCCAACATTTTTGCATGAAGCAGTGGAATATTTCTGTAGTATCTGTGAAAGGAAGAGAAATCCCTGGTATGGGTAATTAATTAAAAGAAGTACTGCGTGTGCACAACTTTCCATAACCACAGAAAATACAACAGATTAGATTAGATATTAGATAACCTTTATTGTCATTTTTTACTGTGGGCACAATGGCACACATTAAAAATGAAATTTAGTTGCTCTCAAAGTGTACACATACATGACACATTTAAACATACTATATACAACATGTGGATAGACCTACACCCTTACATATAAGTAACATTTAAATATTAATCACTGTTCATCTTGAATCCATGACGGAAGGAGGAAGCTTTAGAGTTCACAAGGTTAATGTTGTATGGCACAAAACTGACTAAATCTGGTTGTTCTACTTCGGATACCACAGAGCCTCCTCCCAGAAGGTAACAAGGTAAACAGATCATGAAGAGAATGTGTCGTGTCCCAGACAATCTTTTATTATTATTATTATTAAAAGTTTTACAATTTTACAATAAAATCCCTCTCCCACTACCTCCCTACCCTCCCAAAAACCCTCCCCCCCTCTTCCCAGAGCTGAATACAGGGTTAACTAGAACTAAGAATACAAAACATTTAAACTTAAGCAAACCTCAAACAAAAGTTACATTAAAAAAAAATCCAATATATATATATATATATATATATATATATATAATAAAAAAGTCCAATATGTGTATATAATAAAAAATACTTATTATCTTAAATTTTAAACTTTAAACATAAATTATTCAAAAGCTAAATAATATCTTTTAATATCATACGGACAATCTTATGGACCCTGCTCAAGCAACACTTATGTGCTATGTCATCAGCGCTCTCTGCACCGCCTTCCTGTCTGAAGCAGTGATGCTTCTAAACCAGACTGTGATGCTATATGACAGGATGCTCTCGATCATCCCCCTGTAGAAAATGGTCAGGATAGGGGAAGGAAGATGTGCTTTTCTCATGTGACGCAGAAAATGCAGGCACTGCTGTACCCGTTTCACCAGTGTCTCACTGCTGAGCGACCAAGCCAGCCTACTTGTTAACTGCACACCCAGGAATTTGATGCTGGTAATCATCTCCACAGGTGAATCATTAATGCACAGAGAAGTGTGGCTCTGCCTGCCTTTTCTGAAATCGACAATGATCTCTTTGGTTTTTGCAGTATTTAAAACTAGGCTGTTTTCTTTACACCAGTTCACCAAATCCTCAACCTCCTTGCGGTAAGCACCCTCATTGTCATCATAAATAAGGCCCACTACTGTTGTATCATCTGCAAACTTCACAATATGGTTGGTGGCAAACCTAGCACAACAGTCATGGGTCAACAAGGTGAATAGCAGCGGACTTAGGATGCAGCCCTGAGGAGAACCTGTGCTCAAGAAAATGGTGTTAGAAATATTTGTTCCAGCTCACACACATTGGGCCCTGTTTGTAAGAAAATCAAGAATCCAGTTGCACAAAGGAGTGTTTAAGCCTAAAAGGCCCAGTTTTTCTACTAGATGCTGGGGAATGATTGTGTTAAATGCCGAACTGAAGTCGATCTATGGATGGAGTCCAAGAATGGGGCCTATAGTCTTCCACATATTGCTAGTTATAACTTGCCAACAGTTTGTATATTCAGGGGGGGGGGAAACCAAGCTCCTTTATGCATCAGAAAATTCCAGTTCAAACAATCAAAGAAAATCATAAGACAGCATATTGGGAACTGAATTGTAAATTGATTGCTTTCAATTCATCCAGAGTAATATTTAAAATTGCAATTCTATATCCTGAATTTCATGTACATACAAAAGAACACTAGAAATACGTAATGATGCACCACAAAGAAAAGCTCTCTTCATCCCAACACAATACCAAGCATCTTCTTTCCATTTCTACAAAAAGTAGTTGAAATGAAGGCATTTATGAAATATGACAGATGCAGAAGAGTGATTCTGTCTTTGGATATCTTGCACCAAGATAATTCCCTTTGCTGTGTAGATGATAGAGGTAGTCCTCGATTTAACCATTCATTCATTGACCGAAGTTACAACAGCACTGAAAAAAGTGTCATGACCGTTAGCACTCTGATCAGTGCTAACACTAACGATGTACCCCATTTGGCTAATGAAATCTCTGCGAGAAAACAACCAAGCTCAGAGAGCACCAAGGACCCCCCCCCCATTCTGTTTCTGTCTTAAATGAAAAAATAGAACATTGGAATAGAAGTGAAAACACACAAAATACACTGTTGTTTTACAGCACACCATCTGCGTCAACAAGCTTGTTCTCTAATGCTGATGACTGTACCAATGACACTAGCTCTCAACTTATGACTGGAATTAAGCCTGCAATTTTGGTTGTAAGTCATGATCATCATAAAGCATGTCATCACATGACTGTGTTCGATTTAATTTTATGATAGTTGTTAAGAAAATGCAGCAGTTATAAAGGGAATGCCATGGACATTAAGTGAACACCACAGTTATTAAGCGACCCATTGTTCACTATGGGGCATTTTTGCTGGAAACTAGGAAAAAACGGCTGTTCCTGGGGGAAAAAAACATAGTCATGTTGATCATGGGATGCTGCAAATGGCTGTAAATGTAGGCTGGTTGCCGAACATGCAAAATGTAGTCACAAGCCTACAGGGAGGAGGTCATACGTAAGAGATCAGGTTGCAAGTTCCTTTTTCAGGATCCATTGTAACTTCCAGTGATTGCTAAGTGACCAGTCATAAGTCAAGGACTACCTGTATAAAGTCTACTCTAAGAAATCTATCCAGCCATTTTTTTGGGTTGTGATTGGTTAACCAAGTCTTGGATGCTTTGCTTGAACATCAGTGTCATTCCCAACTAACAGTTGCTGTGCAAATGATTTTATGGATATTTTATAAACAGAATGTTCTCATTACAGGAGAGCAAGGTGCCTTATACAGGATATTATTTTAACTTTTGAATGTTAAATCTAAGCTAGTCTGATTTCCTGGGCACTAAATTCACTAAAGTACCGCATGTGACTGAAATCCACAGCCATTGTGGACTGAATTACACAGATACACTGCCCAAGTATGCAAATTTCTCATGAAATCCAAGTTCCCAGATGATTTGTTGCTATTTCTTCCAAGTTGCTCTTTCCACAAAAGCTTTCAGCCTTGGACTCCAGAGAAAATGTTAATTTTTCTTTTGCTTGATCCATGACAGATATTTGAGGCAATTACTTTCATTTGCAAGTATGAACATCAGTCACAGTCTCACATCTTCTGCAGCGTACATAGCAACACCAAACAAATTTGCACTCACATCTCTCCACATGCCTGACCACTTGAGTGTTATATCCACGGCCACAGCAGAGGAGGTTGCATCCATCCAGTCCAGCTGATGTACGATTGCATTCCCTCCCTTGTGTCCCAGAGACCCCCAATTTGCGATCTTCCATACAATAGTTGGGCGATCTGTTGATATACAGCAGGTCCTCTTTGTGGATTGGGGTGTTCCGCTGGCTTTTTTCTTTCCTGCGTATTTTTCTTCTTAGGCTGTCAGAAATCTGGATACTGTTCTCATACTTTTCTTTTAAAAAACTGCCAACTTTTGCAAAAGATGACATGGTTCTCCAGCAAGTTTTCAGAGCACAAGAACCAGATACGCCGTGACAGCGGCAGTTGATGGACATCAGTTTTGCTACTGCCTGGAAGAAAAATTAAAGCAAGCCACAATTAGAAAGGATCAACTGTCTCTTGGGTAGCATACCAAGCATATTCCACAGCATTTGAATCTCTTTTTTATTTATAAATTGCTTTTCCTTATATAGCACAAATACTGAATGCAGTTTTCATATGGACCAAAAGACTAAACGAGGCAACAGCTTGTTTCTTCAGCCATGGGATAGGTTACAGTATATTGAACAGTGGACAAAGTGGCAGTAGCTTGGGTATTCATCATCAGCTTTAGACATTTTGTAAGCAGTATGGAGGATAGCTTCCTGCTTTCATTAAACCCCACAAAATCCCATACACAATATAATAATCTGTGAGGAGTCCTTGGTGCTCTCTGAGCTTGTTTTCTTGCAGACGTTTCATTACCCTAACTAGGTAATATCTGATGATGATGTTACCTAGTTTGGGTAATGAAACGTCTACAAGAAAACAAGCAAGCTCAGAGAGCATTAAGGACTCCTCATTTCAACCCTGAGCTACAAATATTCTCCTTTATTCATAATAATCTATATCTTTCTGCTCTGAAATCTCAACAGAAAGGTGGACTGTGTGTACCATTTTGATAGCCTTTACTGCTTAATGCAGTTCCTGGGACCATTCAGATTTCTGCATGAATAAAGAAGGGCCAGGACATCAATATTCATTCTACAGAAAATCATATGTGTGATTTGTGCAGAAAACCAGATATCATATCGAAGGAGGAATGAAGTGGCACTAGAATATGAGCTAAGCCCAAGAAATCTTAAAGAAGACTTTTAAAAAAAAACATGATCCCTCCCTGATTCTCTTCAGTATAATAGGGAGGGAAGGAAAATACTCTCAGGTTTTCTGTTACTCTAGCCCAGGGGTGTCAAACTCACAACGTCACATGACATTGCCGGCAATGGGGTGGGTGCAGTTTCGCTATGATGCATCCAGCCGGTGGGCCAGCAGTTTGACACCCCTGCTCTAGTCTGTTACTCTAAATTAGAGTTCCAAAATTTCTTGTGAGAATATTTCCTGACCTTCTTTAAAGAACTGACAACTTTCCCAGTACTTTCAGACTGTATGTACCCACAAATATATATATTTTCCTCGAAGCTTAACTTCCAAATAGAAAGTGCATTATTTTTAGTGCAGTCCATTCTGAAGAACACCCTGGTGGAGAAAGCTTCTTTAATGGAAATTCAGTTGTTATTGAATTACAATGTTCAGTAGGCCCAGCCAGCATGTTCAATGATAACAGAGAGTAGGATTTGTAATTCACTAACATCTCAAAGGCTTTCCATTCTTATTTGCTCAGGTGGAGCTAACAAGGAGAACAAACAGACAAAGTAACTATGATTGCATGAACCCCCTATTCACACAGGATCTAAATAAAACAAATGTGTAACTTCCTCTCACCAGTATTTATGGATATATGGGAGAGAAGAATGGAAGGAAAAAGATTTGACTCCATACCAGTCTTCCTGCTTCATTATTATGCAGATTCATGACCATCAATCCATTTCTATCTTTTCTGGAGATGTTTTTTGTTGGACCATCTAAGAACTTTCTGCTCAACCACATTCCATACTGGATGTCATCAGAACATCCACCCCAGTGCCAGCCTTCTCTGGTTGAGCCACTGTTTTGTAACATGGAATCGCAGGCACAGTCAGTCAGATTCCCTGTGCTGCATGAATGTGTCACTGAATGCACTAGGCCAGCTGCCATCACAGCATAGATAAATGCTGTTTCTTTGGTACCTACCAAAAAAAAAAAAAAGTATTCGTTAAAAAACTATCAGCAGTATGTTCCTGTGATTAATCACTAATGCTAACATGCAACTAAGAGTAGTACCATCTGGTTTCCCTCAAGAAAATCAGTTCTTCTATCTGAGTCAATCCAATCCAATCAATGAACAACTTAATTTGAATCTGCGCCATTAATGGGACCAATATGCTGATTATATAAATGAGTACAGTAAATCATAACATTTCCTCAAGAAACTTTTGTTCATACTCCACAATTTCTTCAGAAATGAATATATTTGCGCTCCTTCATTTATGAAATTGGAGGATCCAAGTTCTCAGATAGCATCACTTTGCTCCAGGGCTAATGAGAACCTGATTTAGCTTGGCCAACATTGATGCAAGAGTTCAGGCTTAAGCCTTCCAAAGGACCTCCCAACCACTAGTGCTGCCAACTAAGAACCTACCGCTGCTCAACTCATAGCCAAAGATGGAGAAAGCAGGAGAGGCGGAGATGGATGAAGGATTAATGGAAAGTGCAGGCACTGTATCCGGAGAGAGTAGACAGTTCCACCGCTCATGTCTGAATTGGCTCTGGCATTCTTGGATGCCCAAGCGTGCTCCTTCTCGGATGCTGTGCAGGAGGTAGGGCTTCTTCTTGCACAGGTCCTTTTGGTGACCATTCAGCGGCAGGTTACCACAACCCAATTTCTCTGGGACACCAAAGGAGGCAATACCCAGCCACCTGCAAAAGCATCCTGGGGGTGAGGCCCAAGTTCCATGTTTTTCATGTTATGCTAACAGACAGAAAGGCTGGCCCACAATGAAACCTCTACAATCAACAACTGTCATAATTCCACAGAGTGATGATGATTGGAAAAAATAATGGGCAAAGGAGCAGAGACTCATGATGCGCATACTAAGTGATAGTCTCTTTGCCAGTGGTTAATAAGATTAATTATACACTAAGAATCAGGACTCTGGGTACTACGTGATATTTCTTCAGTGATTTCAAAAATAATTGAGATATTTACAAGTCTACAGATCTATAAAAAATTAAAAATGAATAATATACAGAATACCATGAATTTCAGTCTCATGCCTAAACTTACATTTCAAAAATGCTTTTTGCAGGACTCTAAAATTTTCAATATTTTCCATGATTTTAAATGCCCAAGCTGGTGATAAAACAGGCTCTATGCATGCATAACATCCAGTGAAACATTCCGTCAGGTTTTCAGGCCATTTTGACTTAATATTTAGAACTAAAGTAATTTCAGTCAAATGTAATTTGTGGTGTCTCATGTGTAATAGAAACCAATAGGAAGCAGTTTGCCATTGTCTTATCTTCCAAGATGATATTCAACTTCTTAACCCAGTCATAGCCCTAAGATGAGTACGTAGTCACCCATTCAAATGTATAGCTATATTTGACTCTACTTAGCTTCTAAATTCTGATAAAGCAATATTTTTCAACCGTGGCAGCTTGAAGATGGGCGGACTTCAACTCTCAGAATTCCACAGCCAGCATTGCTGGGAGTTGAAGTCTACCCATCTTCAAACTGTCAAGGTTGCGAAACACTGATAACGGTTGGCCCAGTGCTGCTGTTTTTTGAGTAATCAGAGAGTGATTTTTAAACCTATCTTGAACATACCAAAATAACAACATTCACACTTAACACTTTGTTTCTAAATAATGTCAGATAGCACAAAACAAGCTTTCTGATTTATTTTGTAATCAGAAAGATTAAGGGGCCCGGGGTTCTGATTGTGTCTTGTAGTTTTTAAAAGGTTGTTATTCTGGCACAATTGTTGGGAACAAGGAACGGTCTGATTATATTTAAAAGACATACACATGCCTTTAAACAGCCTTTGGGCTTTTGGGAAATGTAGTAAAGGTAGATTTAGTCAATATTTGGGGCTACTTTCACACAACATTAAATAAATACGTATGCACGTATACACATACACTCATTCAGATCTCTGTCACATCATTTAGACCAGGGTCCCCAACCCCTGGTCTGTGGACTGGCACCGGGCCTTGGCATGCCAGCAACTGGGCCATGCAACCAAGCAAAGCCCCATCACAGGATGTAGGCAGCAGGCAAAACCACGCCCTCTCCAGTCCACAGAAAAACCTCTCTCCCTGAAACAGGTCCCTGGTACCCAAAGGATTGGGGGCCACTGATTTAGACCATGAGATCATAATGTAAACAACCAGCTGGGCATTTATTTAGCGAAATAAAGTAGGTAATACATTCCCTATGGTTTTGTTTTGTTCAAGCTCCTTTTGACTGATCTATAATTTCATGAAAACTCTATCTTGATAAAAAAAAATCTGCATGCCATACCTTTTTTTCTAAACATCCCAGTTTAGTAATATTGATCTAGTCCAGGGGTAGGCAACCTTGGCTCTTTTAGAACTGGTGGACTTCAACTCCCAGAATTCCTGAGCTCAGGAACTCTGGGAGTTGAAGTCCACCAGTCCTAAAAGAGCCAAGGTTGCCTACCCCTGACCTAGTCCTAGATTCTAGCATAAATAGTGCTAAAGGGGCTCTATTTTTTTTTAAAAAAAATCAGCTGTGAGATTTCAACTCCCCCTTGGTTTCTTCTCCTTTGGAGGGATTCAAAACCTCTTGGATAGAAAATAAAAAGTGACTTACCTTATCATCATTAGGAACTGTCATTATGCCATCACTTGAGCCTTATTAAGGGAAGGACATTTGTATGGGGATCGATCAGGCTCATCAATGTTTTCATTCCAAGTTATAGCCCGCATAGGAGAGGCAGAGAGGAAAAGTCTCATTTGCAACGCTTCACCCAAGAATAATAACGGGATTGCTTAGGTTGCGGGCAGAAATATCCTTCTCTGAGTATTACTAGAGAACGGTCAGATTCAAACTCTGCTTCCTCCCACGCCCGACTCCAGCGAGCCTATGCTACTCACATCCAGTTGGCGTGGGCGCCGCAGCGGCAGACTTCCCACAGCACCGCCGTCCACAGCACGCACAGGCGAGGCAATCCCAAGGGCGCCCCTTTCTCCATAGCCAACGCATGGAGCTCCTTGGACAGCCAAAACTCTACCTTCCCCCCTGCTCGCTCCGACGCGGCGAGGCAGAGATGCGGGCACCGGGATCCGGCTGGCGCTTGAACCCTCCTCACCTCGCACGCTTGCGAGGCGGACTCTGGTGCAGCCAGTTAAGCGCGAGGAGGATCCCCCAGCCCGGGATGAGCTGCGCCAGCTCGAAGGTGAGAAAAGTTCTGCGGACCAGCGTCTCTTTATTTCTTTCGGCTTCAGGTTTTTTTGTGCTCCCTGCTCGCTGTTTCATTGGCTAAAGAGAGTTTATGAATATGCAACATTGCTCTGATTGGTTGGGACTGGCTGTACACGCGGCCACAATAATAAAAGGAAGACCTGCGGACGCGCTCTGCTTTTAGGCGTTCCGGAGAGGCGAATCGCCGTCGCTGGAAGCCTTTGCTGATTGTCTGAAGCGCAAGTCGCGCGGCTGGCCTCGGGTATCCACACTACGCCTGCCCAAGAGAGAATCAGGCTGTGGTAGTGGCTTTTATATTCTGTTCATTGTATGGTGAAACAAATGCATACTTTTTAAAGAAGTAGCCAATACATTTGAAAGCTCTCAGCATCTTTGTCTTGTCAGAATGTAGACTGGATAAGAAAAAAGGTAAAAAAAATACTTGCCCTTGTCAACATTCAGGCGCGCCATTCAGTTCTTGTGCAACGTTAATTCCAAGTTTTGTCTGTAACCCTATATTCACTGCTGTGTTTTTGAAAGCTTTGCAGTCTGAAAAATTATCTTGATTGGTGCATGATGATGCCTCCAAGAACAGCATCAGTTCTTAATGAAGATTTCTGACTGAATGCTGCAATTCATAAAAATGAAACTCATTCCTGATGGGCAGTGCTGGGCCGTAGCCTTGCACATTGAAAAATTGCAATTAATGGTGACAGTTCAGGTGAAGTACTTGGCCTGCATGGACAGAGAATCCCTGACATATCCACTATTTCAGAAAGATACCTCCAAATCTCTATGATAAGATAACCTTTATTGTCATTTTTTTTACTGTGGACAAACGGCACACATCCAAAATGAAATTTAGTTGCCCGCTCTCAAAGTGAAACACATGACACACACCTAAATATACTATGAACAACATATGTATAGACCCACACCCCTACATATACGTAGCAAATAAATATTAAATACTGTCCATCTTGAATATATAATGGAAGGAGGAAGCTTGAGAGTTCACAAAGTTAATGCTGTATGGAATGAAACTATGGCTGAATCTGGATGTTCTGCTATGGATACCACGAAGCCTCCTCCCAGAAGGTAACAAGGAAAACAGGTGGTGAAGAGGATGTGTAGTGTCCCAGATAATCTTACAGACCCTGCTCAAGCAACACTTCTGTGTTATGTCCTGGGTGGGAGGGAGGGAACTCCAATGATCTTTTTGGCCATTCTCACACTCTCTGCACCACCTTCCTGTCTGAAGCAGTGATGCTTCCAAACCAGACTGTGATGCTATATGACAGGATGCTCTCGATCATCCCCCTGTAGAAAATGGTCAGGATAGGGGAAGGAAGATGTGCTTTTCTCATGTGACGCAGAAAATGCAGGCGCTGTTGTGCCCGCTTCATCAGTTTCTCACTGTTGAGCGACCAAGTCAGCCTATTTGTTAACTGCACACCCAGGAATTTGATGCTGGTAACCATCTCCACAGGTGAATCATTAATGCACAGAGAAGTGTGGCTGTGCCTGCCTTTTCTGAAATCAACAATGATCTCTTTGGTTTTTCCGGTATTTAAAACTAGGCTGTTTTCCTTACACCAGTTCACCAGCCCCTCAACCTCCTTGCAGTAAGTTCTACCTTGTCATCCTGAATAAGGCCCACTACTGTTGTATCATCTGCGAATTTCACAATATGGTTGGTGGCAAACCTAGCACAACAGTCATGGGTCAACAAGGTGAACAGCAGCAGACTTAAGATGCAGCCCTGATGAGAACCTGTGCTCAGGAAAATGGTATTAAAGGTATTTGTTCCAACTCGCACATATTGGGGCCTGTTGATAAGAACCAGTATAATACATTTAGAAAGAAAGCATTTGGGGGATGGAATTATGAAATAAGTGGCTTGGTGGCCTAGTGGTGAAGACACCCAACCTCCCATTTGGAAAGCTAAGAGTTCAATCCTAAGTAGCATCAGATCTTTCTGCAAAGAAAAAAAATACCTGCCGCGACTCTCAGCTCCATCACTCTCCTGACTTTAAGGCAGGGGTAGCAACCTTGGCTCTTTTATGACTCGTGGACTTCAACTCCCATGCTGGCTCAGGAATTCTGGGAGTTGAAATCCACGAGTCATAAAAGTGCCAAGGTTGCCCACCCCTGCTCTAAGGGATTACAGGGTAAAAAAGGGAGGTTTTTTTAGTTTAAGCAGGGGTCCCCAACCCCTGGTCCATGGACCAGTACTGGTCCACGGCATCCCAGCAACTGGTCTGCATAAGCAAGCACAGCCCCATCTGGAGATGCAGGCAGCACCCTCCGGTCCACGGAAAAACCTCTCTCAATGGAACCGGTCCCTGATGCCCAAAAGGTTGGAGACCTCTGGTTTAGAGCAGTGGTTCTCAACCTTCCTAATGCTGTGACCCTGTGGTGGTCTCCCATGGAGAATGAGACACGCACACAGGTATCTCGGGATGGGAGCCCAGAGCTGACTCCAACACCCTATTTTATTGTTACTAACGTTTTTACATCACACAGCATAATCAAAAGACGTATATAGGGGTGGTTACAATGTATCAAATAACAGACATTCTCCAGATGCAAGGCTACGCAGGTGTTCTTATCAGAGCCTGTTCAAATGGTTGATGAATGTATCCTGTGTCTGGAGCAGTTGTTTGTTATCTTAAGGACCTTTGTGGGAGCATGCCCATGGACATATTTGTGCAATTAATCCCACATCTCCTCGTTTTGTGTTTTTTTAATGTTACTCACTTCCAGTTCCAGAAGGGATCTTGATTCACTAATTAAGGCGTCCTTCCTAGTGGAGGGCGTAACATTTTTGCATATTTGCAGGAGGGAGGGAATACATTGAATGCAACAACATAGCAATACAAATAATATCAAAATGGTTACTATAATAGAAATCAAAGATTGTAGCCAGGATCCATCCAGTAGCCAGGACCAAAGGGCACCCCATATGTCCACGGTGCCTGATCCATCGCTGCGTAAGGGATTATTTTGGATCATAAATTCCATTTTCTTTGCTGTAGCAGAAATATTAGGTTGAAAATCATGTATATACATACAACAATGAGAATGAATTAAGGCACATACACCGCCTTTTGCTGCTAAAATAATATCTAAAGCATACCGATTTTGCAAAACTACTTCCCTTATTTCCCCCATTTCTTGATTAATCATTTTAATGCTGTTGATTGTTTCATTAAACATATGAACAGTCCAATTGTTAAGCAAATGAAGGTCCCTATAGTTCATGGCAATTCCTAGATTGGGTAGAATTCCTCTGCTGATTTGAGTCTCTAAATTACCACCCAATGTTAGGGGTGGATCTGAGGAGCCAGTATCACATTTGTTCCGCAGGCGTCCATCAGGGAGATGAGGCAAGGCATATACAGCAGGGGTCAAAAGGCCCAGTGTACAGGTGCCTTTCCAATCCTTAGGCACCTGGCGATAGGCTCTACGGCCACATAGTAGCCACATATCGGGTAACTCATAATAACCCTGGTGAGACTCATTAGCAAATGTTATTATGGATTCCATGTCAAGGCAAGCCATGTAGGTACTGATGTTTGTCCATTGATTGCTTCGATAAGTGTCATTTATCTTAGTAAGGTTGCTTTTGATGGATTTGCATTTCTTTGCTGAATTCCATATAATAACTTGTTGACAATTACTATAAGTTCCCAAATAAATGGCAGTACGGAATAGTCCTGTGCTATAAAAACAAAATCTGGCAGGTTCCATTATACGAGCATCCACAGCATATGTGATATTCAATGTCTCTGTAGTTATGTCCCATAGCTGCTTCCATCCTGTTTCATTGAACGGGATGGCATGGAAAATAAGGCCACCACGACCGTCACCAGGAATTTGCATGCAGATCCAACAGTTCATGACGTTAAGTGTAAGAGCAGTGCACCTGGCATCCCGTACAAAAGCATTAAAAGCCCACAGTCCCTGATCCTCATATGCCTGGCTGAGGTGGTGTATGTTGAGCCATATAAGGATGAACACAACGAGCTGGAGTCCAAATGATCTCGCCATGGTTGTCTATTGCAGCGTAGCCTCGACCCCAGGTAATGAGGGAGGGAGGCCCTTTCCAGGTGGGATCAGGCAAACGTCGATAGTATACCTGGGGGCGTGAAGAATCTGTGGGAGAAGCAGAAAAATGCCTGCTTGCGGCAGTTGAGCCAGGGGTACCAGAAACATTCAAAAAGTTTAAGGTAAAAAGTACAAGATTAATGGGTGAAGGAGGCATTATTAGTCTTCCAGAGTTAACTGCGCATTAAATTGAGAGAGTAAATCTCTGCCCCATAATTTGTGTGAAGAGGGAGGACGACAGGTTTAAATTTAGCAGAAATGCCTTTTGTGATTCGTTGTGCAGTAAGCCAATTTTTACTGGAGCTTGCTTGTTGAAGTCTTCCCACTCCCCTGACTGCTGGTGAGGATTCGAGGGGCCAGTTAGAGGGCCATTCAGCTGTTCTTATGACTGAGATATCCGCACCAGAGTCTACAAGACCAGAGAAGAGAATGTCATTGATTAAAAAAGGCATCACCAGATTTTGGGGAGTAATTTGCTTTGTTAGTGCCAATAAATCAGAGGAAGAATTCCCAGAGTGAGGTGCATATGCAGCCTCTGGAATGGGTGGTGCTGCACGTGGCAATAACACCAAGCGTGCCACCGTATCCCCCCGGTTCATTGTGACAGAGAGATTGGTGTAAAATTGGACTTTTAGGGTGTCTCTATACGTGGGATCTATCATACCTGGAAGCACAAATACTCCTTGTTCCCGAGCAACAGGTGTGGGAAGGATTATTCCCT